CTAACACGAAGAATGGTTCCCACCTAAAGCTTTATCGAACAGTCGCTCTGGTCTTCCTCAGTAGACTGACCCAGTTATAGGCTTGTCACCTGGCTTCTCTGTCTCACTGGGTCAGTTTAGTGAGGAAGACCGGAGGAACTGGTCGAAAGCTCTAGCTAGTGATGAGTACCATTCTTTGTGTTGGATCCAAAGTTTTTAAGGTTAAACACAATACTATGCAATACAGTACAATGCTATACAACACAATACCTGGGTGTTGTCCATGCTGGTCCGAGTGACCTCCAAAAGGTGACGTCCTCTGTGATGGTGGCGGAGGGGATGAGTCTGACGGCGTCTAACGTCAGCAGGGGCGATACCACCTGGCGGGGGAGGTCAGGGTCCGGACACGTCTGCACCACTCGCCGTAACATCCCGAACAACATGTGGATCAGCTCCGCTGCATTGGGGTTCCTGAAAGGCCAAAGGAATGTCACTCTACTAATGGCTGCATATCGCGAGCAAGGTAGGATGTAGTTCGGTTATTAGCCAGCCGAATGAAGGAGAACTTGCACTTCTTGTTCCGCCGCTCAGAACCTTTCAGCGTGCCACTAGGTTCTCTTCCAGTTCTCATCAATACACCGTCAACATACCTGTCTCCAAGTCATTTTACAACAACAGCTTTCCCCGGACTGCAAAATTATGGAACTCTCTTCCAAACAGCTGCTTTCCGTCCGATTACAATCCACAAAGCTTCAAAACAAAGGTCCACCGCCATCTCCTGACATAACTACATTATACACACTTAAGTACCTTTAGCTTTATGCCTAGAAGTGGCCAAAAAAATCGCCTTGCATTGAGCGACTCCGTTAAAAAAAGGGGGAGGTTCGGTCTTGTTTGGCTGGTGGTTGGCTAATATTCGGGAGTAGGTCAACAGCGTTCGTGGCGTGTTCGCTTAAATTCGATTCGGCTTATTTAGAAAGGTATTTTCGCTACTTTGGTTGGATGGTGGTCGGGGTAGGTTCTGAATGTATGACAGGAGCTTAGTCGCAAACAAGGTCATCTGTAATGCTTAGGTCACATTTCCAGGCCGGGGCCCGGCCGGGCTGTTTGTATGAACGAAAAATCAACAATTCTTATCAGGAATATACACAAATTGTACTCATGATTATGTTTTAAACTTTTTTTGTGCTCTGTTGTCTTTTGTACCATACTTTTCGTTCCATAAGACTGCCCGGCCGGGCCCCGGTTTGGAAATGTGACCTCAGCATAAATGGGAGACTGTTGTGGAAAGTAATCAGGGCTGTGTGTTTGTGACTTACCTGATGTAGGCTCTGACGCGAGTCGCTAGGTTAAAAGCGTACTTAAACTTTCCCAGGACGTCAGCATAGTCATGGGTGTTGGGGGCCGGGGTCATGGGCTGAAAAAAAGGAAAGAAATGATTGAATTATCCATTCATAATCGACAACCCTTCGGCCTTGGCATGCGTAATGCTCTTGCACATTTAGGAAGCAAAAAACTGTTATTTCTTACAATGCATGTAATTGTCTTCCAGGTGCCCTTTCGGATCTTTGCACTTCACCAACATGCCAATGGGACTATATATTGCACCTTTACATTATAATGTCAGGTACAAACAGACTATAAATAGTACTCACAGGTGGAGGGGCCACATATTGGACCTGTCCTTTCTTCCCCCGTTTCCTCTTCTTGCTCCTCCCCCTGCCGTACGGTCCGGCCTCTGGGCGCGGCATGTAGAACATCTGGTCCAGATCTAGCGAGAACGCCTCGATCTCATCGATGACGTGATTCAAAATGTCGACGTAACGGTCGGTCAGGAACTCGTCCTTGGTCTTGGCCTTTGGCGCGGAGTCCAGGTGCACCACGTTTACAATCTCTTTGTTCGCGTCGTCATAGTAACGGTACTGGTGGGTCACGTCCTGCACGGGGATTGGTGGTTCGGCGGCGACGTAGGGTTGCGACACGGCGGACACCGGCGGCCCGAAACTCTTTGAAACGTAGCTGGTCTCCGTGGGACGAGAGGGCGGGTAGTAGGGGATGATGGCTGCGGGAGGACCAGCGATGGTGAGCGGGGGGAGGTCATCATCCCGTACGGATGGAGCGCGGGGTTGGATCGCTGGCAGGGAGTTCCGTAGAGGCGCCATATCGTACCCATTCAAGTCAGGCCTGTCCATGACTTTAGATATCTCGTTGTTGAGGACGTCTGAGGGATATTCGTCGCACTGGAAGACGAAGAGCTCTTCCTTCCTGGAGTCCGGGCTCTGGTACACCAGGAGGAACAGGTCCGACAGACTGCCCGGCCCGCGCTGGGAACGGTTCATCTGGATGAACCTGGGATCGAGATTCTCTAACAGTTCTCCCGTTCCCTGGTCCACGAGTCTGACGTCATCGCCGACGTCAAGAACGGCGTCCTGGATCCAGAGTTCTCCGCGCGCCTCCATGCGGTCCAGGCGAAGAAGTGCATCTTGAACGGATTCTTCCTCTTTGCCTCGGTCGACAGGAATGGTCATTAAATGCTGAGGAGACAGAGAAGAAAATGTGCATCTTCATTCACCAAAAATAGCACTTTCATTCTCGTCCAGAATTGTGGTCAATCGGAACAAAACAAACAAACAAACAAATAAACAGAGATGAGATGTGTATACCATACCTTGACAGGATACTGAGTAGACCTTGTCAGTTGACTATCCCCATATGTCGCCATTTGTTTTCTACGCTCTATAAATGCATAAAGCAACACAAAGTCATTTAAACAAAAGAGTCAGCCCACACGAGGTACTATTACACTCAGTATGTGGCACCACCACAAAATACCAGAATGTAAACAAACATGGTTGACAGCTGTGTTTCCAGCTTTTAAACACACTTGTATGTCCTATTATGACACCTTCACATCCTGAATGGCACTTATTTACAATGGAGTAGGGTTGCCTCAACTTTATTTGTAAAGAAATGACAAGAATATTGTCTTTTGTATCGTTCTAATGTTACGTAATGCAGCTTTAACACTTACCGTAAACATCCCTCGCGCCTCTACCTTCTGATATCATACCTATAGAGTCACGGCGTCCCCTGTAGATAACAAATAAAGCCGACTTAATCATAGCAACATCCATCATAACATTACATTGTCATTATATTTTGTCAACGTCAAGACACAGGCGTAGAATTTTCAGCAAAATCAACTCAACAACTAGAAAGGCCGACATTTGCTTGGGAGGCAAATACAGTATATTTCAGTCCATCTCCCTCCCACGTAAAAGTGGACTATTTTGGTATAGACTGAAATATAAAAACATGTAGTTCCCGCGGACAGAATTAATTATATATTGGGAAATACCATTTTGTACACATTCTCAAGGTCAAATGTACGGCTTAACCGGTATTGAGAGTGTGAACCAAGCGTCACTAATCTACTTATACTTAAACCACAGATAACACAGGATTGAGGTGAAATATCCAGTTTCATATTATCTAGTCAATACTGACAATGAAAATGAAAGCTACACAACCGTCAAGCGGCGTCGTCTGGATGACAAAAATACAATACCTCCAAAAGATGATTACCCAGGGGGGCGTAGCCCCAAAACAAACAAAAAGATACCCAATGAGATAGTTCATTTTCGTAGCTGACTTTAGAAACATTATAAAAAAAAACGAAGAAACAAACAGGTAGACATCGCACATAAACAACGTATGTGTACTCACACAGGTAGAATATAGCAAGATTTTCAGTTATGTAAAGTTCTGTAGCTTATAAGCTTACTTTGTTGCAACGTGACAACTATCACCTGAAGTCAGGTCATTGGCACTGTACCGCACGCCAAATTACTACAGGTCAACTAACAGCAAGCCTGAAGTTAATGAAGTATAACATTCACTACTGCAAAATCACTTGGGCAAATGCTAACACACACTTTCAAAGTAGAATACGCACATGTCAGCCTTTGAAAGACGAATAGAGGTGAAGGGATAGTACAATTCCAAGTGTTTAAACGTACATAAATCAAAATTGCCCTGTCCAACTGACACCTTTACTGTAAATATCTTCATATCTGCGTACGAATACGCAAACTTTGTGCCACTCGATTCATAAAATAATCAGATTAAGATACTAGGAGACCCTCTTCCTTATATCCTTCAAAAAATAGGAATAAAACACAACAATGTTATGGTGAAAAGAAATCCCCTACCTTCTACGTTGCAATTGTGTAGATAATGTCACTGCACCCACGTTGGTTTTTCTTTCATCCACAAAAACACCGCACGGAACACAAGTACACGCCCAAGCAGGTATACAGAACACCGTCCACCCTAGACCGTCTATAAAGAGATCTCAAGGTCCATGGAAGTTTAAGAAAGACGCAGCGTTCCTCGTAAACACAGAGGCGTCGGGCACATTCCCTTCATACCAGAGCGTACCCGCCTAGCTTGACCCGACCCTTAAACCCCTCACGGTAACCTCAGAAAGTTGTCGGACCAGTTCGGCTCATCAGAGCTGCGATCTACACACCCCAGTAAGGCCATGATGGTTTGACTATATGGATGACATCCACGCGTGCATGGAGTTTTGTTAAAAAAGTTTTTACCATAGTTAGGGAGGCCAAAAACTGGCAAAGTGAAAGCTGTATGATAGCCTGCTGTGAATAGCTCTTGTTGGATCGTGTGGCGTAGGGGCAGAGTGCGCGACTCGGAACCTAGAGGTCCCGGGTTCGAGTCCTGACATGCCACCGATCTTGTGCCCTTGGGAAAGGCTCTTTACACGACTTTCCTCACTTAACTCAGGTGAAAATGAGTACTGTCCTGTCATGTATTTGTCCCCTGTGTTGGTGTCGGCATTAATATAAGTTGATAAAACTTAAGTGTGCCGTCACCACGTCTGGTGATTACATGTTGGAATAAATAAATAAATAAAAAAACAATAGCTCTTATGTAGGTTAATAGGCAGTGAAAATTTCTTAGACCTGCGATGTTGAGAAGGACCAATTTATTGACACTGAAAATAGGGAAAATTGCAAAATTGCTCTAAAGAATAGCATCAAACTTCACCAGTAGTGTAAATAGTACAAAGTAGCTGCAGGGTGAGCAAATATATGCCGTAAATTGAAAAAAAGAAAAAAAATGCTAATTACAGTATGTCGTAGAATTCCAAAATATTCCAAAGAAAAAGAAAAATATGTGAAGAAATGAAATGAAGGATGTATTATTCCCCATATGTGTGTTTAGTCATTTGTTCAACCTTCATGACCACGTAGATTCATAATTATAATGAAGACATCTTTTTTTGCGAAACCTTTTTATTTGCACGCTCGCATCAGTTTTGGGGTTCCAAGAGCATGTCAACCATATAATCAAATCAACATGCCTTGACCTTAAGTATGCCTTGAAAAGGCAAACATGCCATGTTTTCATTATACAGACAAAAAATCCATACCGTACTATTTTAAAATCAGTACAGTGTGCAACAAAATCTTACCATGTATGAAAACCTGTAACTGAAGTACAACTAGTCTTCCGTATAACTATCCAATAAGATAAATAAACAGCTTAGTGTTTATCCAGCGAAGTCAAATGGTATCGTCTGAACTCTGACTCCGACTACACACTGTGATGATTGAACTTACTGATCTAGAAATGATAAGAAGGTCATTACCTACTGTATAATTCAGAATTGTTACAACGAAAAAAAATTCATCGAGCGCGTCCAAAGAAACATTTGTTTTTGTAACATGTGCACATTATGTCGAAGCAAAACGTATATTGAATATGAGAGATATTTCTGTTCATCATTCAATGTAGGCATTGTTGACGTGGCACTAACTAAACAAGATAGGAATCCTTTGATCCAAGTTGATATACGCTGAGCCTCTTCTTAAGGGCATCCAATGCAACTTCAGGGCGGCAAAACTGGATTTTCAATCAAATGGAAGTTTAATTTTCTGGCCATTATTTTAATGTAGTATACTAGTAAGCTGTATCAATCCTATCTCATAGCATACTGATATCTGTGAGTCAAAAATGCGATGTCGTTGACAGAAAACGGTTGTATCGTAGGCTGTTTCTAGATATTTATGGGTGGTAATAAAAAGACCAAAATAAAAAGACCCCTCATATAGCTTGTTTCTGGGCTATTGCAAATGCTGTAAGTATTAAATCATAATGAAAATGTGTTAAGAGATGGTAGTTGATGTCAATATCAGACAGATTTCCTCGTCCAGAACAATTTTGTTTTGCCACTATTAAAATAGAGTGATGTACCTGTTGCGATTATGTCGACCACATCAAGTGTAATTAATACAGATACTGTACAGGAAATAGCTGTGGGTGTGGTGACACCATATTGTATGACGTAAAATAATAAGATGATATTTAGATCATCGTTTGGAATGTTATCTTTTGAAGCAATATCAGCTTTTATTTTTAGGTCATTATCACGACAAGTTGCATAATTGCTATATAGTGCACAATTCAGTATTTAAGAAGATACTTTCTTGCTAGAATGGTACGTTAATATAACCAAACAATATATAGACCGTTGCACCAAATGTCTATATTTACCATAAATCATTTAGGGCTACCAAAACTACCAAGGAAAACAGTCTGCTTATAGTGATTCCTCGTTTGACATTGATAACTATACTTAATACTGATACAAATAGATAAGTACCTTTTCATAAGAGCTATTATAGATAAGCTATCCCATCCATTGAATAGTGCTTTAATGGTCATGCCATTTTTAGTAATTTTAGTATTGGTTATCAATTATTAGTGAGACGCTATTCATTCCAGGATCATAAATTGAATATCATGCTTTACGTACTTATGACGCGATCAAATAACTATAAGGCCAGGGGAAAAGGGGTAATTATACTATAAGATGACAGGGCGATGATGTATTATCGAGTGCCAGTGAACACCTTCCAAGAATTGACCAAATGACCTGGAAGTAACACCAACTCTACATAACATTTGTCTAAATGTATTGCCCACAAGGAGTTGACTATATACTGTATATCCATATTTTCATGCCAAGAATCAACGAATTATTCTTATTTACTTGATATTTGTGAACATTTGTGTTGAAATTTGAATCTACAGGGCATTAGTATAGTGATCATGATATCAGGAAAGATATCATCTGAGATAAAGGAACATAAATTATTCATAGGAAGAAAAGAATACTAACTTAGGAGGAGATCGGTATCTAAAGAAAAGAATTTGTCTTATGGGGGGAATTTTTCTAGATGCCTAGATGCCTAGTATGCATAGTAATCCAACTTGATAACATGTTATTATTTGAGCACGTAGATGTACATAATCATTATAACTTTATACTTAGTGATGCCACATATGATATTGGATCAAGGCCAAGTAATGTCATTTAAATGACATTTGGCCTGAACAGGACTGTACTAAAGGGGACATGTGGGGACGGCTTTTGTGTGTTATTTGGAAAGGTTAGACTACATGTATGACTCATGACTTGGGTATTTTCAGAATGCGGGGTGACATTCTGTGGCAAGAGATCTAAGATTGAAAAACCAAGACATTGCGGTTTCTGCAAAGACATGGCATTTTGCTTTCATTGTAGAGCTTTTTTTCCGAAGCCTCAATAGAGACATCTGTGGACGATTTTAGATATACCTTCCCATTTGAACCTCTTAGAATACTCAAGCAGGTTAAGGAGGTTCTCCACCTCCTTGGAATGCTCAAATATCTCGTACAACTGGTTATTGGGGAGCCTTAGACTCCATGGAGTGGCTGTCAACACATGGTTATAGTATAGGGCCAGAGAAAAAATGTATAGAGCCAATGTTACTAAAAGCATTGCCATTACAGTTGCCTGATGTTTTACAGTTAACATCCACAGGTAGCAAGTCCCAGTTACCTTCAAGTAGAGGTCGGTGGAGAAGATTGTGTGACCTTTCAGATATATGCCCCTTTTTCTGTCACACTCACTGCCAACAGAAAACGGGACATATGCTAGAAAGGTTCTTCTCCACCGACCTCTGCTTGAAGAGTACCCCCAGTGGCACTTACCGAATCGGGCCAGAAAACTCCAGGTCCGCCTCGGATTGGAGCTCGTCCAAAACCGGCCTGTTTAGATACTCGTCGTAATAGACGGACGAGTCGTCATTCGTCATATCCGGTTCCGCTAGTCTACACACCTAGTGCATGATGGGAAGTCAGTATTATGATATAGCATGTAATAACACACTTTGTCGTGGAATGATGAATGCTAGATATGATGTTTTGCGTAACACTTTTCTTACTTCAAATACAACAGATTTCAAGAGACTCGATGCTACAGACAGACTTGAATATATAATTAAATGCTATAACGTTACAAAAACAGGTGAATATGTAAAAGACATATATTAATTGTAGCTATATAATAAGTGGATTATAATAGAAAAACTCAAGTTATTTTTGCATGCAACTAAGATACGTTGTCAAATTTAAAACTGATTGTTTGATGGTTGGGTCATTGGATAAATGGTATATGATCGAATCCTCCATTGTTTATTTCTGTAAATAGCTAGCCTATGATGTCGTGTTTGTAAAAGAACACCCCATGAAAGATGGTAGCTATAATACTAATAGATATAAAGTATGTCAGGATCTAGGATGCAAAGTGTTGCTCAGTGTTGCCCCCCCCCCCTTGTAAAATAAAAACATGGCCACCAATAGAACTATGTTGACAGCTAACTGAAGGAACTGGCAATGTGTGATTGATGCGACACCTTTTCTGCACGCGACTGTGGCATCATTAATAATGCAAACTAAGCAAACGACGTCACTTCTCATTTTGTATACAGGAATTCCGAGGACAATTCACAATACAATATGGTATTCACCGGGATAGCATAATGAACGCATCAAAATAACCATACCTTACAGACGTTATTTCATGCTTAATGATATATGTGAGGACCACCTAAGAAATAGAAGTTGTAGAATGACGGCCTTGTCATAGTAAATTGATGATGATTCTCATGCGAAAATTGATGGTACTACAGTGGTAATATTGGGTGTTACCAGTTTCTGCTGCCATATCTAATAATATATATAAGTATAATATATTTGATATATATATATATATTTTTTCAAGCATAGAGTCTAATTATGTCGTAATGTCGTAATTACCAATATTTTAAAGAAAAAGAGGCATTTCCTAGGAGGCACAGACAACGGATAGTTTCATTGTAGATAAACAATTATTGCCGTGGCCTTCTTGGGTGTGCTCTGGGTACACCTGTGCAACAGATCTGAAGACGCCAACTTACAACATACAATTCGCGTAATCACACGTAGTTGACGTTTCAAAGATAACAAAATACGTGCAAGCGATCAAAGATTGTTAAAGGTAGATCTAGTATAATGATCAGTTGGCCGGCGTCCAGTCATTACAAACCATGTTGAATGAATCAAAATGTGGACCCCTCCCTTCTGAGTCAAATTCCTGAAAGGTTGCGCGTATTGTGCTCGTAATTACAGTGCACACCGCAAAATTGGCTTGGTAAACACCGTGGACCAGTGACACGGACCTACTCAGATTATCAGTTGCCACGGCGACAACCTATCAACTGTCTTGTGCCTGTCAAGTGGACGTTGCAAGAAAATAAAAACTCACCAAATGCAAAGACGCAAACAGCAAATTTTATGGAGCAGGGCCTTGTAGCGGTGTCTTGTTAGCAGTGTCCTTAGTGTGAATATTTTAGTTCGCACACAGACATAGCCTGAACAACCGGTTTGCAGGGTTGAGCTCCATTATTGCAGACAAGGCTACGCCATCACGTGACCTTTCACTTCCGGTAGGTCAGCAGCCACCTGTGAAGTGAATAGGAAACAGTTTGAAGGAACCGCCCTACAAAAGCGAGGCTTACTCCAATCCGCACACAATTACCAATTTGGTCAAACTCAACAAAACTATAGAACACACGGATCTAGACTAGAGGTTGGAAGCGAAATTGTAACAAAATGAAATAGTGTCGGTATTCTTTGAGGCTAAAAGTTGTCAGTTGTGGGGAAACAGACTTCTAGTATGGTGGTTAGGCCACAGCAAGTAATTTTTATGGATGACATCAGCGCGCGCATTAACTTTCGCCTGGTTTTGGAAAAAAAAACAAGAAATTTTGTTGCCTTCTGACAGTGGTCACCATGCCACAAATGGGCAAAGATTCTGTTGCCATACCGGAAGATGGATGGCAGATAACTATAAAGACAGGAGACAAGGAAAGGCTTACTTTGATGCAGTGATATGTGATGCTGGCTGTGTACATGTATATGTGATGTTCCCAGTAAATCAAAACCAATGTACAACTAGAAAGGCCAATATTTGCTTTGGAGCAAATACAGCGATGGGTTCACCACATTTTACCACATGGCAGGGAAAGAATGAGAAACACAAGGGAAAACTAGAGAGGTCGACATTTGCTTGGGAGCAAATACAGCATATTTCAGTCCATCTCCCTCCCACGCAAAAGTGGACTATTCCAAACTTACCCCAGTGTAAAACTGGCAAAGATTCTCAAATAAATGAATTATATAGTAGCTATGTAATTGAGAACAAAGATGCAAGAACAAGCTCATTGAATCTCGAAAGCTTTACTAATCTTATTAAAGGTATGCAAATACTAACAATTATGAGATTTGATACATTTTGAAGGTCTTAGGCACATAAAATTGAATGCGTGGGTCATTACGCACGACTTACGTGCAATGTGACCCCAGGTAACCCGCAATGGAACACGTGTTCCATGGCCAACGGCAGATGGAACGGGCCATTCTTTAGATAGAACATGGAACGGGTATAGCACTTTTGGCCCTTTTTATGCTGCAAATAGCCATTAAAGTCCCCCAAATAAGTCATTTGGAAGTGGTGTATGCCAAATATGTGACTGCTATTCTGTAGACACATGTTCAAGGTACCCTTATACCGAATTTCAGATCATTTGGTTGTAAAACCAGGGCTCAGGATCCAAAAATCCATTTTTTGGCGAAAAATGCCCCAAAAACCTTCATAAAAATTTTTCAAAGGCATGTATCAAAAAAATGAAAAAAACGCCTGGGGGTATTGGCCCACTCTACCTCCATGCCAAATTCCATGTCATTTGGCTGAATGATGGCGGAGTTGAATCCCTTTGACTGTTTGGCAGGAGAAGGAGGAGAAGGAGGAGAAGAAACATGAGAGAACACAATATATTTCATCCATACCATGGTATGGACTGAAATATAACAATGATTTACATTGATATAACTATAATATGAAGTAAAATACAACTAAAACAACAGTTGGATAGCTATTCCCTACTTTATTGGTTAGGATTTTTAATTGCATAATGCAAACTGTTGATTTTCAAAATAAAAAAAAACGTCCATGCCCGGCATTCCAATGCTGGAGCAGGAAAGCTTGAAATACCTACCAAAACACTTGAATACAGACATACTGTCAGTATGGAAATGCTTCTGTGCAGGTGTTAATCAAGTTAAATCCCAACAGCCAATCAGCAAGAAGTATAGAGGAAAGCTGCATGCCTATTGGTTGATGCCCTGCATTCCATTGTGATGACTCATGCCCAAACGTGGTAAACAAGGCAAACTAACACAGTAATACATTTGCTATAACACAGCCAAAAAACTCAAATAAAACCATTCTAAAAGCCTGTATCACAATAATTTAAAAAACGCCTAGGGGTATTTGCCCACTGTACCTCCATACCAAATTTCAGGACCTTAGGCCCTAAAATGAAGAAGCTGAATCCATTTAAAAAATGGCAGGAGAAGGAGGAGAAGAAGGAGAAGAAACATCAGAAAAAGCAATATGGTTTCACCACACCACTTCGTGGTGTGGTGAACCCATAATGATTGAGTAAAAATTGTAGGAACCTTGTTTTTTCGGCCCGCCTTGTTTTGTTTTCGCCCGCTCGCATTAGATTTGGAGTCTGCGGAGGATGTCATCCATAAAATCTACTTGCTGTGGCCTTAGAAGAAATCTTTGTTCTGTGTAGCGGAAGAATGACGTGTCATTTCCTGTAATTGAATGAGATCAAAGTTGGGAACCGATTTTGTAGCAGAAATGGCCTTTAATTTTCGGAACGAAGTATAATCATTTTCTTCAGACTCCCTGTGAGACATAATGAGCACTTAAGGGGCAAGGTCGGCTTATGTGAACATTCTATTTGTTTTTTACCAACTCAGTTCTTTGTGAATTTCTTATCTCATCTTTCTTTTAAAAATTTGAAATAATCTACCTCCAGTGTAGCCGTCCCACTTCATCCTATTATCTATATGACTTGAAGTTCCTTGAAAATTTTTTTATTTAAAAAAAAAATTTTTTATATATTTTTCCAAACTTTATTAATATTCACAACGTTACATTAAAAAGAGATACATAGTTGACATACATGTGCAATCGTGTGGGATGATACATAAGAATCAAGGACAGTTTTTTTAAAAGGTAACGTTATCTATATATAATGATATCACATAAAATGTTCCCATTGTTCATTATGTTCTATTTCTATAATTTGGTTTAGTCTGTGCATGAAAATGCTTTTCTGTTCTATTTTAAACACGCGTCTCATTTTTCTTAACGAATACTTACTTTTGCTAATGCGGTTTTGTTGCTGCTAGAACCTCACCAAAAGCATATTTGTAAAAGGCATTGATCTCAGAATGGCACCAAACGATCCAGTCGCTAATCTTTTTTTCAAAGTAAGTTGCACATGTGATTCCTTGGCGCATGGCCATAGAGCAAAAACGCCATCTTGCGATGAATGAAATAATACCGGAGGATCATTGGTCGACCTTGATAATTGTTCCACTCCAGTGGGTCATCCATCTTGTGCCTGTCAAGTAAGCTTTGGTTGTCTGTCTGTGTACGTATGTTTTAATCTCCAAGCAGATCTTACGGTGGGGGAAGACAGTATCAAATTGGCCAGCCTGTATGAGGAAACGAATACAGGTTTAGAGGGTTTTATATTGGAGTTTAGTTTAGAGTACCAAAACACGTGATTACGAAACTCGTGTTAAAGAATAGACCACGTTTTGGAATGCAATAATACTCGTAATTCCAAGGAAACTTTAACCTAGTATGTTGACCATAATTGTTTCTTGACACAAGATATAGAAATAAAAGAGAATGTTTTTTTTGTTAGAGAATCATGTTCATCATCATCTTATGTTCTCTCAAATTCTACAACAAAGGTTTGAGAGGATATCAAGGATGAATAATCGTTGCTGGAAACGAAAACTGCCTCCCAATAAACATTTACGTTTAATAAAATAAACTTTATTGTACAGGGCACAAACTTCTGGTACACAACTACAGTTCCAATGTACCCAATACGAGAGTGCGTAGTATGAGATGAGAATGTAGTTTGAGATTAAAAAGAATGGCTTTTGCAATCAAAAGGGGCGAAAGGGGTAACGCTTTTATGCTAAACGTCCTTGCCCCCTGACCTGTTGACCTTCTTTTAAAGACACATATGCCCCAATTTGGGGCTGTTGTCTACGCAAATCTATCTTTATATAGTGGTGAAGACAACAATGTTTGATGTCATTTACCCGCAGGCTATGCGAAGAGATTAATCATCAGAAGTAGAAACGTCATCTAATTGTGTGTTCTACGTCACAGCCCAGGTAACCCAGGCTTTAAACATAGCATGGCACGGTAGGTAGATTCTCATGACGTCACTGCACCCGGAAATGCGTAGTAGTCTGTCCCAGCATGGCCTAGTTTCCAAACAAACAAAAAACAAACAAACATACAAACAGAAAAGAAATAAATGCCTTACTCTGTAAATGATGAAACATTCAAGGCCACTGACGTTAATCAGCCAAATGTTAATGCAAAATTTTAGAACAAAGAACATTCTGGAAAGTCTTTTTTAAAATGTCTTTCTATTGTGTTTTCTTACTGATAACTTATTACTCGGGGTATAAGTGGACCATTGGCATCGCAATCTGAACAGAAGGAATCATCCTTGACATATTTGAAAAAAAAATTGTAAGAAGAGCTATGATAAAACATTTAGTGTGCTAAGTAGTGTGTTCACGTTACTGTACTTGCGTATATCTAACCACACACACACCACACACACACACCACACACACACACACAGACCACACACACACACACACCACACCACACACACACACACACAAGGAACACGCACGCACAAAATACACACATAGAAATTTATACATACATAAAATATACACACACACACTTAAATTCAACTTTGACTGTAATCTGTTCACTATGTTAAGGAACAAGCCACAACATACGTTTCTTCTTCAAACAGTTTTTAATTTCTGATAGTGATTATTTCAAAATATTGTTTTAATAAATTTGTGAATATGATTAATACTGAAATATCATCAAAGATATTCGTTATCCTCAGTAAATGAGGCGATGTTTACCAAAAGTTGCAATATTGGCGATATAAATATTTGAACAAAAGCACGTATTTCATATGTATATGTACATGTTACTAGGCTATAATAAATACAGCAAATTATCACAATTACTGCAGCTATTTAAAATGATTATGGAACAATAGAGCAGACAAGTAAAAGTATTTGTAGGAATGGAGGTCAGGTGTTGGTACACATACGACACATACCTTGTTCTTCCTACATGAAAGTCATTATATTTTTGTTTGTAGCTATAGGAGACCTTACAAATAGTCCCTGTACTTTTGCTGCATCACTGATCAAGTTCTGTCTGTGTATGTTATGGTAGAAAGGTACAACAAGATATGAAATGAGATATGGCCAATGTTATATGTTTGGAGCTTGCCAAAACTTCCTACGCAAAGGCACCACATAGGTCAGTACCTGTACAGTTCCATAATATAATGAAATTTTGATGTATTTAGTTTTTTTATAAACATCTATTTTTTTACATTTGAATATTTTTTTTAATAATACCAAGGCATATGTGTATTTACTTATTACACAGCATTAGAATATCATATCTTAGGTCCAGAAAATCTAGCGAATACATTACTGCAATACTGTGATTTTTCAAAAATGTCAATTGAAACAATCAAAACATATTTTTCGATGTTAAATTCCATTCACTGCCTCCTTATCAATGTCACCAATGTGGTCACATTTCTATAAAATTCTGATACTCTTATAATGTGTAGCCAGTACATTAAATTGCAATAATCTACTACCTAGGTAAGCTGTACATATTTCATAGAACTTATTAAAGTAATAATGCACGCTCTTTGGTTTTAGTTACAAGACAGTTGATGCAAAGGCTAAGAATCGTCGTACCACCATTTAATGATGTATACCCAGAAATGATTTCAAGATCTGTAGTTATATGTCATTTTGTAGCAATGCATTACTAAATACATAATAAGAGTCACATGTAAAATACAATGTAAAATGGCATTATAGATAGTGTTTCTGATTTACATTCTTTTTCTACAGGAATATTTCATTCCAGAATTCATATGCTTCATTGGTATTTTTTTTTTACACAAAAGTACAGCAACGATATCGCAACCATATTGTTGCTATGTAGACATTTTGCCACCATCAAATGTTACGTACACTTAACATCAGACGTTAATTGATTTAACAGATCCTGACTTGAAAAAAAGTCAGGATGGTTGTTATTTATCATGAAGGCACCAATGAAGCAACCAATCAGTGTATGTTACATCTAGATAACCATGTACGAGGGGTGTTCAAAAAGTTCTCGGCCTCACCTAGAAAATAAAGGTCAAACTCCTATTCTTTGGTATAACTGTATACTATGACGTCTTAAATCACTGCACACAAAAATTCAAATTTTTGTATTCATTAATGAGCACGTGACGCCCCGTGAAAATGGGGTGGGTGAGGGCAAATCACAAAATGGCCGCAACAGCACCGTGTGCTGTGATCAAGCGTATCGATAAAAATGAAAGTCTCCTAAGGACATCCATGAAGACATGGTCAAGACACTTGGTGATGACTCCCCTTCTTATTTAAATATAAAGAACGGGGTTACTAGCTACAATCGCGGCAAGGAGAGCACAAAAGATGAACATAGGTCAGGATGCCACAAATCAGCACCACGGACAATCCAGTTGAGGCCATCCATCACAAGGTAGTGAATGACAAATGTGAGACTGTCCAACATGTAGCAGGTTCTTTGGCCTGTGTTATGACTCAGTTCACAATATTTTGTCGAACATCCTGGGGATGAACAAACTGTCTGCATGGTGGGTGCCTCGAATGTTTTTTGAACATCAGAACTTAAACAGGCTTGACATTTCAAGGAACGAATTCAGTCCAATTCATGCAGTTTCCTCAAAACATTTGTCACTCAAGATGAGCTGGGTTCACCACTTTGACCCCGAATCAAAACAACAGAGCAAACAATTGATGAAGAATTTTCCCCGCCCCCCAAAGAAGTTTTAGCGAGTTTCGTCCGTTGACAGGGTTTTTGCCTCTGTTTTCTGGGACAGTAAGGAAGTAATCATGATTGACTACATGCGAAGGGGTTAAAGCATCAACGGGGAGTACTATAAAACAGAATTACGACATTTGAGGGCAACGATCAAAGAGAAAAGGAGAAGAAAGCTCCGAGCTGGCGTGATGAAAATGCACCTGTCCACACAGCACAGGGGTCAGCGACAGCAGCAAACGAATTTGGGTTTGCAGTCTAACCCCACCCTTCCAATTCACCTGACCTAGCACCCTTGGACTTCTACCTGTTTCCTAAACTCAAGTTCCACTTACGTGGTCAACGTTTTGATGGTAATGATGACGTCATCTATGCGGTATAGGCCTATCTGAGGGGTCCAGATGCAACCTTCTTCCACAAGGGGAAAATAAAGCTGGAACATCACTGTACCAAGTGCATTGCAGTTAGAGAGGACTATATTATAAAATAGTTTTAAAAATTTTTTACTGCCCTGACGTTTTCTAGGTGAGGCCGAGAACTTTTTGAACACCCCTCGTATCCATAGCGATTGCCAGTGCGACTTCTTCGAAAACGTTAGAGAACTCTCTCAAAAATCTATTCTTTCATAAAGTCAATGTTTGATTGCCTGATCTTATTTTCTATTTTGAACAATAAAATAATTTTTTTTCTTTTTATGTTCAGGTTACCCCGCTATGAGGTTATACAATCTGGAGCCTTCCTCTGGACAGACAATCTCCATCTCTCTCTTGGTCAGCCCGTGAAGGCGCTCGGCATCCAGACCCTGGAAGGCATCAATGCTGGATCTGCTGAAGCCATGTTTCTTCATCCACTTGGCCACTTCTTTAGGTGAATACGTCTTATCAAGCCCCGCTGTGGATAAGAGAAGATGTAGGGTAAGTTTCTTTGTTGCAATCGAACAAGTTTTTAGCGTATCGCTATTGTCGATGAGCACAAGGTAAAACAAGAATTCCGAGATTTCATACCTCCATGAAATATGGGCTTGACATGAAAATGTAAATTTCCTCTTTAATTATGCAAATTACCTCCGCATTAACATGATATATGCATCGTGATGTATGTGAACTTTTGATTAACTTACAGATGTCCCAAGTATGACATTCCCATCATTCACCATTAAGAAATCATAGAATTTTTGCATAAATTATGTAAATTAGGTCATCATTTGCATAATTAGTATCTGTTGATGTTCTACCTGCCATAGGTTACATACATTACATGTATGAAAGTAGTATAATGTAAAACACTGTAATTATAGAATTTCCTCATTAATTATGCAAATAAAGTCCTCATTTGCATAATTTGCATTTCATCATGTACATCTCTCTCTCAGCTACCTACACACCAAAAATTATGAAAATATGTTGTTCCTATCTTGACTTATTGGCTTTTAAACATTTCGCCAGAAAGTGCCCTGCAGTTCCAGAACAAGCTGCTAGGGGGACCAAACTCACACCACTTATTCCTGACAGGAAAAGCAATCTGTCACCAAAACATCAAGACCATAGCATGTTCAGGACAAAAGATACAAAAACCGGAAGTTCTGCTGCAGTACCAAGGTCATCCACCAGGAGGCCCATATTTGACCTTGACGTTTGTCTTCCTAAGACTTACCAACATACCAAATATCATCATAATCCATAAAGGCGTTCTGAAGTTATGCTGACCACAAAGTTGCGGAAACACAGACAGACATACATACATACATACATACATACATACAGACAGACACGCCAAAAACAATACCTCCATTTTTCATGGAGGTAAAAAGGAAGTTCTTCTGCAAAAGGTCAGCCACCAGTAGGCCCATATTTGACCTTGACCTTTTTCTTCCTAAGACTTATCAACATACCAAATATCATCACAATCCATAAAGGCGTTCTGAAGTTATGCTGACCACAAAGTTGCGGAAACACAGACAGACAAACACACAGACACGCCAAAGTATACAATACGCCACGCAAAGAGGCCAGTGGTTACAGGCGGCATCTATAAGACTTCCCTTGCCCCAGAGAATCTGCTTGTAGATTACAAGGTCAAGACAACAACGAAGCTTGTCAAACGGTAAAAATGAAAGCTGGGGCGAAATATTGTCCTGCTTGACCTTTTCCCACTTGAAAGGATTGCTTACTTGAATGATTGCTCCATTTTCATATCGCCCGAGGTATAATGCGTTTTTTCTAGATTGTCAACTTAAAAACATCACGTTGCATAAAGTATCAAAGGTCAAGTCCCTTGCACGTGACCGGAATATATTTATATTTTTATGTAATTTAGAATATGAAAGTCCTGTTTCTTAAACATTCTCAAACGTTTGTTAAAACATTACACTACCAAAAATGTTTTTTCTTATTTTTCTTATGTTGAGAAATATTTTCTTGCCAGGGGGATTATCAAGAAAATTCAAGAAACACTCTTCAAAGATTTTGTATGTTGATTCTTACACAAAGAATTTTATTCTTCTTTTGTCTTAAGAAAAGAAAATATTTCTACCATCATGCTCACCAACAAGAATCTTAAGAATTTTTAGAAAGTTAACAGTATTTTTTTCTGCTACAAGAAATCATTTTTTTGTGTACAGAATGGTTTTCTTGCTTCAAGAACAGTTAGATCTTAGTTCAAGAAATATTTTCTTGTGGACAGAATCGTTTTCTTGCTACAGCAAGAAAACTCAAGAAACACATGTGTAATTTTGTAATGTTACAGGGATTCTTTAATTTCTTGTTCAAAGAATTATTATCTTGCTACAAGATACCATTTCTTTGTACAAGGAAAACAAGAAAAACAAGAAAAAAGCATTTTTAGTAGTGTAGATATCCTTGTTTTCATCTAAGGATTGTTGAAATAATACTTACACGCTCGGTGTTTGTGTTTCAAATCTGCCACCACCGCCTCTGGTGATTTATAATGATTCCAACTGAAACACAATACAAACAAACATGTTATGTGGACGATAACTATCTATTAGACTAACAATACTGGACAGAGCTACACTCATCTGTCCATGAGAAAATCAGGAGAACACAAAAAAAAATTCTGTATATATAGACTAGAATCTGAAAACTGTTATTCGAGGTTACCATCATGTCTTGTAGCCAGCAAAATATTTTATTGTTAGCGACGCTTGCTTTTGTAACAGAGTCATCATATGATAAACATTTTAGGAATGCACATCGTGGGAGGTACGGATACAATCATGCAATTCGTGAAGGATACGAATGCTAATAAACCTGGTTATAATTTATGAAAGTTCATCTGCCGTTAATAGTTGTATGTTTAAAGTAAAGATTGTTGTTCCAGTGCAAGGGCCTGTTCTCATCTAGAGTTTTAGACCACTCAATCTGGTCTGCTTATAAGTGTACACCTTGCAAACGAGATTCGTAAAGTGCGAGTATGTTTGTACAGTTAAAATAACCCCCAGGGAAGGCTTTATCTATTTCAATCACCAGCAGCTGTTGTCATTGTCTTCTCACAAAAGTTACCATTATGTATCGGAGACCCAGTAATATCTTCCACACAGTACTGATAAACCTCTCCCCATGTATACCAAGCATATCCCCGTGGGAAGAAGTTTGACCTAATCTTTTTTACATTCTCTGACAACAATACAGGGATTGTGTAGTTGTAACTACTGGGCACCTAGCGGGCAACATAATAAGATGATTACACCTGTCATTATGAAAGCGACAAGGGATGACTAAGCACATAAAAGTTTTATGTAATCCTCTTCAGAGTTTTCAAAAACTATACTCTGCACAGGTGTAATGTTATAGTAGTGAGCCACGTTGTAGTGTGTTCACATGTATGCTTGCTAAAGGCGTTTTTCTGTGAATAGAGCTTTAGTATAGTAATGGTAACATGCCACAGTTTGGGTGTGGTGTGATATCCACGCTAACCTGTAATCTCACGTGTTGTAAGAATATTACAAGACCACAACTTTATGGGCCACACACTCTAGACAACAAAGGACTTATTGTAGTTCAAACTACATTCCATTGACGTGTAGAAATTTTTTTATTATTTTATTACACGGGAAAATGCAATGGCTAATCAAAAAGCAATCAATCAATCAATCAATCATTCCATAAATCACACGTGGCCGTTATGAACTGTTTGTGAATTTTAGATGGTTCAAAGTAAATTGAATGAAGAAAGGGGCTGAAGGGGACATGTACATCGACCATAGATTGGTTTGTCTATGTTTTGCTGAAATGTAGATTTCAAGTCTGAAGCTTGATTGTATATGTGTGCTATGTGTTGTATTGAGCTTAGCAAAGAATAAGATACGCCAAAAAGCAATTACTCAACCATATCCAGTTGCTTGAGTAATCGCGTTTTGGCGTATCGTATTACCTGGATGTCTAACCTTCATCGACGTAAAGAATAAGATATATGTCAAATTAAGAAATTGTGGACATACCAACGTTTAGTTCGATGACAGTGCAATCACAATGTTTAGATACGGAGTTCAATCTTACTACTTACTTTTCTCGTTTGGGTCTTGCTCCTGGTTTGTCTGTATTTATCCATACAGCTGTCCAAGAACTGTCTGTTGCAACACTGTCAGTGTCTGGCTCTCTCTGCAAGGACATCGATAAAAAACAAACATGAAACTGTTGTACGTTTGGGACCGCATTGTAGATACAGTTCCCTGTAAACACGCATATGTGGAGATATGTGTAGATGTGTAAATATTGTACATTTGGGAATGCATCTATAGCAGCGACACCTGTGCTGCAATGCAATGTGAACCAGTCAGAATTGCCCTGAGGAAGGTGACAGACGGTCACCGAAACGTCGGCTAAATAAAAGACGGCTGTGTAGAAAGAGTCTCTTTACTCAGTGACTTACCAACCTGACGAAAACTATTCACGGAAACATTGAAGTAGTTTCAGTAATCCCTCAACAACAAACGATAAAATGGTCGAGTAGGAAGATTTTGATCACAGATTTGTTGTTACTCACATATCTATTTCAAAGTCGGCAATTTTCTGTAGCTTCAGGCGACCTGGAATTGTCTCGCCGGATATTGTAATTGAAGTGTGAACGAGTTCACTTCAGGGCATGCCGTAAAAAATGCAGCTAGATGTACAAGATTTTTTGCAGTTTTTAAAAAATACAAACTTTACAGGTCTTATGAATAATGAGAGAATTTATCAAAGTGTTCCGCATTGTACAAACTCTTTCACCAAAGGTACAAACAGATCATTCTGTCAAAATTGCAGAGGTCATTTTCAATTAGAAATGTACAGAAGGTCATCAGCTGGTGGAAATAATTACAAGGGGTTTCATAGTTGTCCCTTTTGTTGCACCGCGCGTTCAGTCATGTTTAAGAAAGACTGAAGGATTTAAAGCCAGGGGCACATCCTGTCATACGTGAATGTACCAGCGTATTACTAGCAGGGTATAGGGTATGGCATTCTCCCATTTTTCTATCACACAAGGCCACACCGACTTAATTTTATGGATGACATCCTCGGAAGACCCCCAAACTAGTGCGCACGGGCGAATAAAAAGAATTCCGGCCAAAAATAAAAATGCTACTAAACCAAAGGAATACAAAGCTGGTACATGTGCTGTTAATTTGCGTCAGTACATAGCGACGTATACGGCAAGCCGGCGCATGCTGTTTTTTTGCGGAATTTCTGAATCTGCACTGTACGTATGTACTGAGTTCTTGAGTCATGGAGCTTCGGTAACCTGGGTGCCATCCTGCAGAGCCGACTCTGTTTCGTTGCTAACTACTCTGGTTGCTAACTAGCCAGGCCAGAGCCTCGGAGGATGTGATCTTTTTTTTTGTACAACAGGCGAAAATCAACGCGCGCGAGGATGTCATCCATAAAAATAAGTCGGTGTGGCCCAACAATGTAGTCACTGAAGTGAAGGTAATGTTGTGTTAAAACTCACGTGCTAGAAATGGAAACTGCCGATGTTTGCCACGCACCCCCAAAGGGCTAATTATATTATTTTTGCAATTATACGGCAGTCGTGTCAAGCCAAAATATTTTAGATGAATATCTTTAGATTTATTACGTGCAGTTTAGACACAAATGTTGGTGTTTCGCGTGACAACCGTATGGGCGGGGTGGTACGGTCTGGCAAGGCTAATTGGTCGCCCAAGGCCTTTACCTGCTCAGGAATGCACGTTTACACCGTGGCATCTTATAATTACACGCCATTTAATATCATCCTAGCTTCTGATTATCTATATCTTTCTAATGTTTGTTTTCATATTGAGATCTATTTCTATATCCATCTGCATTTAGATATTTTTGTGGATGTAGATATTATCAAATCCTGGTATACAATAATATATAGAGATTGATTAGATAAAAATGAAAAGCTACTCACCGATTCAAATGTTTTGGGATCAACTTTCCATCTGAAATTTAGAGGAAACAAGAAAGAAGTTATGAAAAATTCGGTTATAGCTGGATCATGTGTCTGTTCATTAGAATTAATAATTTTATCCTTTCTGACAATGAAATAAGCCCTGGATGAATGGTTGACAGCAAAGAAACGCACTCGACAAGGTCACCAAATCAGTTACGTTTGGCTGCACCCAACATGCCTGAATGGGCAGTGTCTGAGACATTTTGAATAGGTCTGATTTGACTGCTTTTAAATTAGACAAATGATGATATCATTCGAAACAAGTACTCATATCTACGTTGACGGCTTATATTCTTTATGAAACAACACAGTGATATCTCTAGCACTGACAAAGCCTCACCACTGACAAAGATGAATACAATTGATAACAAATAACACAACAGAAAATCCATATTGGCGTTCCAAAAAAGAAAGATAACATTTAAAAATGGACCATTCTGTGAATAATAATATAGTTCTTTGTAAACAGTTTTAAACATATCGTCAGCTATAAACCGTTTTGTGTTGGCAGTATAGGTTTGAGCCTTATTTTAAAATATTTACTGCAAGTACATGCTATAGGTGTTAACATTTGGACTTTGTTGTAACGAATACTATACAATTGTAGTATACAATCGAGTTGGAACATATCTTTCACAGCAGTATTAAAAGCGTTGACAGAAGTACCTTCTCCATTTTCTGTCATCCTCTTCATCTTCGTCGTCTAGGGAAAGTGACGCCAAACTGTGGGTTGTCGAGGATTGCCGACTGTAGTAATCGGACCCTATCGTGCTGAACTTCTCCCCGAAGTTCTTGGTAACGGTGTGTACTCCGGTACTCTGGTCCTCCGACGACGTCTCGTCGTGGTAGTCAAAAAGGACGTCGTCTTTGCCACCATTTCGCCTTGAAGAAGGGCTAGGTCTCTGTAACTGCACGTAAACAGTCGTTAGAATGCCATTTCAAGGCTGATCTAAACTAACTGTTGACAGCCCTTCGCTTAGACTGACTAGGTCTATGTAACTGCACATAGACTGTCGTTAGGATGATATTTCAAGGCTGATCTAAACTAACTGTTGACAGCCCTTCGCCTAGACTGATCATGACTAGGTCTCTGTATTTGCAAGTAGACAGCCGTTAGAATGTTATTTGAAGACTGAACTAAACTAACTGTTGACAGCCCTTCACCTAGACCGACTAGGTCTCTGTAACTTCAAGTAGACAGTCGTAAGAATACCATTTCAAGACTGACCTAAACTAACTGTTGACAGCCCTTCGCCTAGACTGACTAGGCCTCTGTAACTGCAAGTAGACAGCCGTAAGAATGCCATTTCAAGACTGACCTAAACTAACTATTGACAGCCCTTCGCCTAGACTGACTAGGTCTCTGTAACTGCAAGTAGACAGCAGTAAGAATGCCATTTGAAGACTGAACTAAACTAACTGTTCACAGCCATTCGCCTAGACTGACTAGGTCTCTGTATTTGCAAGTAGACAGCCGTTAGAATGTTATTCCAAGAATGAACTAAACTATTGACAGCCTTTGGCCATGGCCAAGATCGACTAGGCCTCTGTAACTGTACGTATACAGTCCTTAGAATGCCATTTAAAGACTGAACTAAGCTGAGTGTTGGCAATTATATTACTGATGTTCATGATTCTCAATGAACGGCACGACTTTAAAAGTTTATTTTGGTTCAACAGCAACAAGACACTAGCCAGCAGAATAGGTTTCATAAGCAATACTAGAGGAAATGGAAAATTTTGACTGTGACTGAAAAACCAATGTCTCTTGTCTCATGTAATTTCAAGTAGACAGCCATTGGAATGTCATTTCAAGAGTGGAACTAAACTGGCCGTTGACAGCTACTGATGCTCATGATTATTAATGAAGGATGTGACTTAAAAGTTTTATTTTGGTTTAACGGCAACAATGATAGGTAGCCAGCAGAAGGTTCGTCAGGTACTATTTCAACTGATGCGATAATTAATACTATGCGACAAGGTGCAGTCAACTGGTAAATCAGATGGTGGCACGAAAGAAAGGTCTTTCTTTGGCCATTCAACTTTGACATTCAGATGGCCATTTTATAATATGTGCAAACGTTAAAATGTTTGCTTTTAATTCATTTGCGTCTACCGAATGTTTAACAACGTATTCAGTACTGAGGTGCAAGACAGGGCCATTATAAGATTTCCTTTTGGATATAGGGGTAAGCTGTCTCAAAAAGGAAGGGTTTGAGGATCACCTGTTGAACTGGTCTTTCTATCCTCTCGTTATAGTGCCACGGTGGTGCATACATCTCTGACTTATGGCCTGCTGCACCCTCGCTGTATAATAGGAGAAAAACATAAATGTTATTTCTAACTTTGAAACATGTACATTACGTGTTTTCATTGTTTATCGTTGTTGATGTTTGATACGTTAGCATCGCCGTCTTTTAAGGTTACATGGTGTTCTTTGCTATGCTCACGACATTTTTAATGAGAATGCCACGTATGGCATTGTTGAAAACAGCACGAGACCTAAGAGAACATATTATCTATCAGATACAGGTACAGATCTAGCAAAGATCGCAAATGTGTTATGAAAACAGGCTTTGCCAAGAAAATTGGACCATTAAACCTGTCATAAACACATTGTAGTAATCTTCTACAGCATATCATACTATGAGGACTGATATCTTGACAAATTTTGGGGCTACGTTACCCTATCACCAATGACTCTAAAAGTTAAATACCCCATTTTGGTACCTACACAAAAGATGTATCTGCACACGTAACTAACCATCAATAGATAGGTCCACAGAGACTTGCTTACTGAATAGCCCTCCGACTAGTACATGTATACACTACTCGGGTCTATTATATGTATATGGATTTGAATGTTTAAATATTTTTGTCTAATGATAGCATAAATAAGGTATGTCTGTATAGGGAGGTGAATATTCTTTTCATTCCATACTGTATCTTCTATCTACTTCTACTTCTTTCTAAACTGATATTAGTATCTTCTAATTAGAAGTAAAGCCGATAACAACATGTGGGGTCAACATGTGTCAAAACTAGTTACATCATTGGAACAATTCACGACACATCCTATTAACATCAGTCGTTTGATAAACTCCAGAGGTGCCTTTTTATAACATAGGGCGATTGTCCCTAATGTTTTACATGCTTTTTTACAGTGTTGAAGCATTGTTTTTCACAGACTACACTTGTTACAGACTTTTCTTGGGCAAAAGAAAGTCTGTAGAGTCGGTCAAAACACTACGTCAGCAAGTTGGCCACGACGTTGCCATGTACGTGTTGCAGACGTGGCGACGACTTCTTTACGAGGGTGGGGGTAACGTTAACGTTAGTCCCTAGATTTAAATGTTATACATTGACAGTTTTGTTCAGTGCAAAGCCAACTGACTACTTTTAGGCACTGAGCTACTTAGGTGTAACAGATATGTGACTATGTCAGAAAATGGCTGTGGATGTTCATTTGAAACATGAACATCCACATGAAAGCTTTAGGTTTGTATTCAAGAGGGAGCTCCATAATTTTGTAGTCTGAGGAAAGAAACTGTTGCTGTAGAAGGTGTTTGAAATAGACATTTGAACGGTATAATGGTGTGAATTCTGAGCTTTGTCTTGGATTTAGAGTTATGGCAGGTATCTACTATTTTGCCTTCCTTACCTCGGAGTTGTCCAAGCAGATCCTAAGGACTGCCACAGCTGCATCTCTCTCGACGACAGGCAGTTTTGCAACAGTTTTGTGGCAGCGGGCGTTAACATAGGTTCAAGCACCAAGGGTGCAGTCCTCTCTATCACTCCGTTGTGAACCTTCAACGCTGCCAGCAAAGAGAACAGCGTGTGGACCAACTCAGGCGCGTTCGGCTGCATGATGTACTCCCGGAGTCTCCCCAACATGTTCAACGCGTGTTTGATCTTGACCAGTAACCGCTCATAGTCCGACGCGTGGTTCGCACTACTCCCCTGGTGAAATCCTTCAGGCGTCCTGGATTTCACTCTGGGGATCATGACTGGTAGGTGGGACTGTTTCACGTTCCTTCCCCATCTGTCTCCCAGCTTTAGTCTGTTCACCATGGTCTCTACTTCATCAAACACGTTATCTAACGTCTGTAGTTCCTTCTGTACTTCCAGAGCTTTAGGATGGGAGTGAACGGGGCTGATGAGATAGTCGCTGTTGCCGCCCCGCTGTCCCGGGACAGGGTGGCCCGGAGCGGGGTGGGTGTCCGACACCACGAGCTTCCCTCCGTCCCGTACAACCGGCCAGTAACCAACGTGGTCTTTCCCATCCTGGCGTATCATGATGAGATACCGCCTTCCCTGGAGAAAAATATACCACAAAACAAGTTAACATTCTATAAAACATTGCGCCCTTCTGTAGCCTGAGTGTCAGGCAGCCTGTTTCCTGGGTCTGCACACGCCAGTTCCTCCGCTCTAGGTCCAACAGGTTCCCAAGAAACTATACCACAGCCCCTTTTAGTTAGACCTGGCAATCTGACTAACTCTGGGTCTAGCATAATGTGGATCAGACATCCAGGCTAACCCTTCTACTAGCTTCAATGACCATCATTGGCACACATCCTGACATTTCTACGAGAAAAAAACATTAGATTTCTACCTACATTTTCAAAGAAGCCCCCGGCTAGTGTCCTTCTGGTGGCTATCGGATCTTTTTTGTCAGTTTGAAGCTATTGTTTCAGAGGGCCCCTGTGACATTTGGTACGGTACAATAGACATACCAATAGACACAAAGGTCAAACAAATTTAGATTGCCAACATGGCAACCACTGCTAGAGGCATCCCACAATTACCTTCATTTTAATCCGATCCTTTCTGTCTTCATTCCAGACTTCTTTGAAGTAGTTTAGCTTTCCAGAGTAAAGTGCCCGGTAGTGACTAAAATGATTAGGATTTTTTTCGCTTTACAGAGAAAGGTGTGACTCAGGCGTTGGCGAGAATGGACACAGGAAGGGACGGAAGGGAAAAATGCCTGCCATCCTCCCACTCCCTTTTCATAAGCCAGGAATGTGCAAATTACAGATGACCCAGTTTAGGGATATGCATATATATAGAATTACAGTGAAGAAAAAGAAGTTATTCCGCGATCACATGATACTGTCAATCTGACAATGTTGAAAGTTATCAAATGTTTTTAGACAGCTGTACATATTGTAAACTACAACACAATTCGGGATGCACTCCTGTGATTTTGTTTTTTTAGTAAAGAAAGTTTTGAAGTTCTTAAGAACCACAGTGGGGCATTGTGACAACACGAAAATGTAGATCTTTTTATTCAAACCAACAAGACAAATGCAAAGTGACACTGCACTCAAGTTGTGCAACTTATTTTGCCAGTACCAACTAACAATATATGAATGTATATATGCTAAAATGACCAAAGTTAAAGTATGCCCCCCCCCTCGCCCAGTCTACGGAATTCAATTCAGATAAGAGACTTTTATGTCTTTTCCTCGGAGAGGTTCTCAGTCGAATAGAGCTAGAAGCGTTGGGTCTGTGAAATGTTTGTGTGAGCACCATCCATTTTAGAATTGTAGAACTCCATCTACTAGTCTGTTACATAGTTACATGAATAGAGTTCAATCAAGCTTTGTTCCAACACGACCGAAAATTTATGGTGAGTTCCTTTCTTGTATTGGAACAAGTGAAAGCTTGAACCCTATAACTACAACACAAATGAGCTTTCATTGGAATAGTCTATTACATGTAGTTTTCAGAATCGATTATGTCCACACTTCCTCTGTAAACGGTGTATATCCAGGTGACAAGGTAAACCAAGAATAACAAACTCCTGTTGCCAGTATAATCGTACTCATTTTGGAGTCTTTGTTGAGGAAAAGAAAGTCATTAGACCTCATGAACATCTGCCATACATGTGTGTGATTTCTATCATTTTACTCACTGAAGCAATTTTATACACACCAAGAACTATATTCCATTCCCCCTAATTATTCATCTATAACAGGGGGTGTCTTAATTGGTCCCCACTCCAGTGCCATTCTTGCAGGAAATTAATGCGGAAATAGGTTACCGGCAATTATGCACACTTAAATACTTTTTAACAATCTTGCCTAAAATCATCTCTTTGTATTGTCAGTGTAACATGATTTTGTCTGACAAAAGAAAAAAACCTGCTAAAACATGTGCAGACCTGTAATGTCAATGTAGATTGCTAGAGTAGTTGTGTTGAATTGTAGTATCGGGCCTATCTGTCAGAAAGCATTGCATATGCAGCATCTATATATCAGCATCAAAAAATCATGTCTTCCAAACAACCAGCCATACTCTATAATCAACTGTGCCCGGTGTCACATCAACACACTTACAGAACCAGATATGCTACTCGGAACACCTTCAAACTAGACAAACCAAAAACAAACAGCACTAAAAAAGCCTTCACATACAGAACTACTGCAGCATGGAACTCTCTACCACATGGGCTGCAAACAGTGGCATCACATGATAAGTTCAAACAAGACCTACTAAAACACATGAAGGACATGGATAAGTAGAGCACATGCGATGTTACACACTTGTAATGTATACTATGTAATGTAAATGTATATGTAATTGTACGTGATGTATTGTTATGTATGTATTGTTATGTATGTACCCTCTCCTGGAAGAATAGCTGCCACCTTCGGGTGGGCAGCTAAAGGAGAGTTTTACCTCAATAAACCTCAATATCAACTCTACCTGTTACCTTAACACCACAAACAATGATAAGCATTCCTAAAATCCTTTTCAAATACTTTCCAAATATGCTGCCAGACCACCTATATTCGACGTGTTGCAAAAACATTTTGACTTCCTTTAGAAACTTTAGGAGGTATACCAACTCCGTCTCTTCTGGTGCCATATTGCAAACCAGTGACCCATTTTTCTTCGAATGATGTTATTCATCAAGATAATTACTGGGTGTAAAATTCTAACCTTGGAATGGTATCTAAGTAACACAGAAACACAACTACTTGAATTTTTCTCATCCACAAGACAGAATGGGGTAACAATGGACCAGTTGGATAAGCCAGAATTGTTACTGAAACAGGTGTGTATGGTAACCCAGACTGAGTACTCTGATTGTATCGTCACATATATAGGACATGTACCCACCCTCAAGATGTAAAACATATTGTGAACATACTATAGTCTCTATATATAGTAGAGTGGATTAATTCCTCAAGCTAACCGACATCTAGCACATCGCAGTCGTCCCTTAGAAAGAGATCTGGATATGAGACAGCCTGGATAAAAGTTCTAAGCAGGGACTATGTGGCTCCAGGTGTCTTACTGAGGAATGACTACGGTGTGCTAGATGAATCCACTCTACCATATACTTAGTCTCTCTCACGACCACGCATAGTCATTAAGTTGTATAGTAGCACGCTTGTAGTACACTTTGAGACATCTTGGCAGGAACAGTCCTAACATCACAGGCTCGCAAATTTTGAACTAAAAGAAAGCCTACAACCAGAACCTTTGTAATTTGATATCCTCATCATTAGTGCGCTTCTAGTCGGGCAGGTACATTCAAGAAAGGCAAAGTAGCTGTAATCACGGAGAAGAATATAATGTACTCTTAGCTAATGATTTGTTCGGCACCGATTGTGTGCATGGTGACCTATTTAATGACAGTCATTTCCCAATGATTGGACCTGTACATTCACACGATGGTACACGTGGGACTTCCCTCGAAGGTCAAAGAAAACCCCGTCAAATCCTTTGTACCTAAAGTGGCTTAACCTGACAATGGATCCATAACAGTGTCATACTACATACCGTCACGCTATGCAGTTACAAAGAACACTGCAGACAACTCAACCAAGAAAGCTGTTTCCTGTGTTCTGTGAAAGAGATACTCTACCTTGACGTCAACTGCATGCATACATACGTGGTAGCTATAGGCGAGATAGATATATAGAAATATCAAGCTACTCTCCAAGCAGAGGTTGATGGTGGAAGATCGTTTGCTTTTTAAATATGGCCCCTTTTTTTGTCGCTACCAACACCAACTTGGGTGGGGAAATGGTTACAGACTGGCCAATTTGATACTGTCTTACCCCCACCAAAAGATCTGCTTGGAGATTATATCAAGCAGTATGACTGGGGAAATGTTGGAACCATCTTCCTAACGTTATCCTAGAGAACTCCATATTCACTAAACTTGCTCAATGACATCAGATAAAAGTTTTCAAACGATATCCTCTCAGATACGACTGGTCTTTTGATGTTAATGCAATGCGTCGCCATTTGCCCTTTTCAGTAGCCTTCACCTGTTGAATTATATACTATCCACGAACCCTGGTCGAATACCAGACTACACATGAAAAATTAAGACACATTTGTAAAGTTGCTCTCCTTGTGAATAAGGGACCGTTCACAATCCATCCACATTTATGATAAATCATTGCCAAGTGTTGCCAGAAAGTTTTAAGTAGACACAATACCCAAATGCGAAAGGAATTTAAAGAACACAAGACCTAAAGTTTAAATCAACAAAGTACAGAAAAGACCTATTTTTAAAGTTGCTCTTCTTGTGAATGAGGGACCGTTCACAATCCATCCACATTGATGATAAATCATTGCCAAGTGTTGCCAGAAAGTTTTAAGTAGACACAATACCCAAATACGAAAGGAATTTAAAGAACACAAGACCTAAAGTTTAAATCAACAGAGTACAGAAAAGACCTATTTTTAAAGTTGCTCTCTCTATGAATGAGGGACCGATCACAATTCATCCAAATTTATGATGAATCATTACCAAGTATTGCCAGAAAGTTTTAAGTAGACACAATACTCAAAGACGAAAGTTGATTAAAGAACACAAGACCTAAAGTTTAAAGGCATCCAATGCAGTTTTCTGGGCTTGGAAACCCTTGGCTGATTTTTATGGTACCACCCATAAAATAAGGGACTAATCTTGGGGCTTGCTTCTGCAGTTTTAAATACCCAAATGTTGAGATACTGACTCAAATATGCTATTGTGAAGTAGTATGTGTCAACATCACAAAGATTGCCTTATTCAGAATATTTCCAGTTTTGCTGCTCTGAAATCGCATTGGATACCTTTAAATCAACAGAGTAAAAAAATGCTAATTGACACCTGCACCCGCAGAATGCAGCTAGGTCTCACGAGATTTGGTCGGTGTGACGTAGAAGATTGATGGCTGATGTCAGACCTATCAGCGGGGGTCACATAGCTGTGACAATGGCTGTTTCAACGTCACAAGCAACACGGGCTGTGATTGGTCCGTTTGGACCCTCTGGCATGTTATAGGGCGTATCGACGAGCAAAACAATGT